TTTAGACTTGTTACCGGGTAGCTGAACTGATGTGTAAGCTAGCTCTGCTACATCTGCAATGTCCCTATGAATGCTGGTGTTGAAGCAGTGCATTACTGTTGGGTAGTGACTCTGAATTGCAGAGCGAGCTGTGTGCAAGTATTGTAATACTGCGTTTAGCTTTAGGTGAAGTGACACTTAAATCCTTTATCACCTGTGATGTCAAAACTGGACAATTGTTTATAATAAAACTGGTGGTTCCTTATGTCTTGTATTTAAGCTCTGTTGCTTCTGTGTTTCTCTTGCCTCTCCTAACAGAAGCTAAAAATGCAGAGTGGAGAGATGACAAAAGATGACAAACAGACTTCTTCTGCTCAGTCCACTCCAAGCAGCACTCCCCACTCCTCTCCCAAGCATAAAAACAGGTACTCTGTTCCTGATAGACCACTAACTCCTTTGGTTTCCTACAGGCTGCTGAGGTGGGAGCTGCTACAAATAACCTTATCCAGTGAGGGACTGTCTAAGGGGTGAAATTCAGAGCCTGCTGTGCATTTGTGTTGGATAGATCCAAATGTTGAAAGCTTGTGGAACTTGAGCATACATATCTTTATCCTGGGTGGTAACAAACCTATTAAGATTGTTTAAATTGCCCCTGGTAACTACATGTAAAGTTCCTGGCACAGTGGGGCTGCTTGAAGTATTTATTTTCATGTTTTATACATACCAATGATTTTTCCCTAGGGGTTGGTTTAGTCAGGGATCCTCTACTTCTATCACTGGCCCAGACTTTGCCATGGAAGCTGCTGGGGACAAATTGCCATCTGAAAGATGGAGCTTTTTTGGACCCAAAGCCATCCAGAAATCCACCAACGATCCAGGTATGTCCTCTAAAATCCCCTGCCCTGCAAGAACTAGGGGAGACCTGTCACACAACAAACTTGCTAGCTATTTCTGGAGCCTTATCCTGCTTGCCTTGTTACTTTCTAGGACTGCCTTGTGAATGTATGCTACTCATATCATTTCTGTGCCTAAATAAAAAGCAGTTAGGTAAAACCTATGTCAAAGATCTAAAAGTAGAAATAACTTGTACTGAGCTGCAGTGGAAGGGCAGGGTGTGAAGGCGACAGCTTTTTACTCTGCTTTCTCTGCTGTCTGGTGGAACCAGAACTGGAAGTGCCAGCCACTGATGTGGAATAGGCTTTAGATGACATGAAGCTGCTGGGTCTCGCATAGGCTTTCTGCAGTGTCAGGCATCAGTGACACTGCTTACTCCTGGCAGCAGTGGAAAAAGGACTTCGCTAGTTTTCCTAGCTCTTACTTGCTGTGATTTTCTTTTTCATCAGGAGGATTTACCATCCAGTCCTATAAAGGTGCCCAGAAGCCATCCCCAATGGAGCTGATGCGTGCTCAGGCTACTAGGATGCCAGAGGATCCAGTCACCTTCAAGCCACCCAAAATGGACATTCCAGTCACAGAAGGGAGGAAACAATCTCCACGTTCCCATAATATCAAACCTCGGGATCTGAATGTGCTCACTCCCACCGGGTTCTAGGAAGAACGCTTCTGGTGTCTTTAGCAGGCTACAGGGTGTCTTAGGCTCTGCTTCCCTGTCCCATTGTGCTGCAGTGAAATAGGAAAGTCTCCGTTCCAGCTCTTCATCTCAGAAAAGGAAACAGTTGTGACTGTCCTCCTAAAGCCAGTCTTGGAAAAACTCCTGTGCTAGTACTAAACCAATGTAAACCATCCTGTCTGCTGTATTGCACCAGTTCGGTCTGCTAGGCTGCACTAGATGTGTTTCCCGGTACACTACACCACAGTAAAACCTTGAACCATGTTTTGTGGGACTGGACTGCGTGTGGTGTGCAAGCAGGCTGGCTTGTCTACCCGTAGTCTGATTGTCTTGTACTGCTCAGTGCTGAAGTACCCTCAGGAGGACCGTGGTTCTGTCTGGCGTATATAGAACACCAGCAGAAAATGATGAAAACAAGCAAGGACTAAAAACTGGACCATTAACTGCCAGAAGGAAGTTGCTCTGGGAATGTGGTGGGTCAGTTTTAAATGTGGCACTCCCTTACTATCCAGTGTGACCTTATAGTTCAACACCTAGTACTTCTTTGGTTTTGGATTTTTAAAGGAAAAGTGGAGCAGTGACCATTCTAAGATGCTCTTAGAAAGGCAGGGAGCAGACTCTAATGGGGCTTGGCAGTAACAAGGAAGAGTTGCTTCTCTTCCAACTCTTCATGTTCCTCCAAAAAGGTAGAAATGACCAGAGCTGGTGTGGCTTGGACCAAGTAATCCTACTCTCTCTCTGCAAAACACTGTCCTGCCTTCTCCTAGACAACAGATTTACAGATGTTCTGGCATGCTGGGTGCTGCTTGATTTGTTTGATTTTTTTTTCTAGCATCTTGTATGAATCGTGTAGAAGTGTATTAGACACCAGGGGCACTTCTCAAATAGGGTTTTTTCATCAGCATTAAATGCATTTTGCAGGGCTGGGGGAGGACTGAGGGCAGATCAAGGCTAAACATTCCTCCCTGCTACAATACAGCTAATGTAATTTTTGGCCTAGTCAGAACCAATTATTTGGAACAGCTAACACTTGCTTTCATGAAAAGTGGAAGGAACTCCTGGCTACCATCTAATCCCTTAGGCATTATAGGCAGCATTGCTCTGTAATCTTCACCTGTCCTGTGGCAAAAAGGTCTCCTCTCTCTCCATCTCACGATTGTGTTGCAGAGCTCCCTCAGCCAGCAGCAGGCTTTCTGCAGTGGCGAGGTGGCAGCAGCAGCCTTGCATCTGATACGGAAGCTTGTCTGTTGCCAAGACATTATACAGAGGTTACTTAACAGCTGGTAACTGTCAAGCTCTGAGGTTTCTGCCTTCTTAAATCAAATGTTTCTCCCAGAGGGCGAGGCAGGGTTGGCTCACTGGGCTAGCTGCTGTCCCCTCTGAAGAAGCATGTTTTGTGGCTCTGCTTCTTCAAGCTTCAACAGCACTGCCAATGATGTGTTGTGTTGAAAGTCTCCCACCCAACCAAGCAGTTTTCACTGTCACCACTCATTTGCACCTTAGCAGTCTCTCATTTGACATTAATTTATTTGTTGTCTGTATTCATGTCTCTAATGTGTATGATTTTTTTGTTTGTTATAAGAAAATAAAAACCTTGTGAATGGAGGTCCACCCTCAGTGTGTGTTAGCGCTGGCAAAGCATCTGTGGAAGAAATGTGGGGCTGTCCAGTGAGTGTGGGGTCAAGGTTCTGCCTAATAAGGCTCTGGCAGCCCTTGCACCAGGGTAAAATGTTTGCTCTGTAAAACTCCCTTTCGACAGGGAGACTCAGTTTAAAGCCAGGCTCAGTCCTGTGTTAGGGCTTGTGCAGATGAAACTAAACATGAAATCTTTGTGTTTTCCCAAGCTATTCAAATGGTGATTCTTCATGTTCCTGAGATTGCTTCTGTTGCAGCTTGTGTGCTGTTTTTGCACCTGTAGTGTGGAGGTGGGCACAGGTGGGAGCCAGGCTGGTATTTGCCTAGAGGTGCCCAGCTCCCAGTGGTATGGTGGTCTCTGCTTTGCCTTCCTCTGAAAAGTTCTGGTTTAAGTGCTGTTGTAGCATTTGTAGCTGCCAAAGTACTGCTGATAGAGCACACGGTTCTCCTGGGCTGGGTATGTCTGAGCTGAACACTGGTGTCTCCTGTGCTCCTAGAGCGTTAGCAGAACTAGAAGTGATGAAATAAATGCTGAAGCACTCAGGTACTCTGGTACAGGCGGCTGCTGCAGGTCTTGGTTACACAGGCTAATCTCAGTTTAGTTTGGAAAGGCTGGGGTTAAAGTGTGGCCTCTTGGTCTGATATTCTACTTTCCATATTTTATGCCAACATAATTTTTGGGGATATGACCAACATATCAGAAACTAACATCCATAACTATGGACCTCTTGCTGGAATGTGGCTGCTTTTCTAGTCTGGTGATACAAGTCTAATCCAGTTAAAAGGACCCAACTGGAAAATACACCTGAATGAGCACACCATGCAGGAAGAGCAGCTTTCTGGGGCAGGGAGCACTTGGAGTTTGCGCTGCTGGGAATGCTTCTGGCTACTACTCCCAAAACAGACTTCTTCACTTTTCCCTGGATGGCTTATCCCTGGATTAGAGGGGCAATGTCACGCAGATGAGTGGTTTGTTCTGCATCTGGCAGTTGGGAAGAGGCTTCCTAAAGAAAACCTGTGAGCCCTAGGTCAGACCCTTCCAAACGGTTCTGGGCTAACCGAAGCCAGGCTTCTGGATGAGGCCTTGCTGTGCAGCAAGCACCAGGTCTTCAGTGTGTGCGGCACTGACATCAGGACAGTAGTCATTCCTGGCCGTGACTGTGCTGCCCTATGCTCCTAGGCTCTGGTCTCATTAGGACCCTGCCCCAAGGGTCACCTACCACAGGGGCAGATAAAGGGGTGGTGGGCAGCTACAGAAATCTTTCTTTCACTCCCAACCTCTGTTGCTTCTGAACTGTCTGAGGAGAGCTTCTATAGAAATGCCTAATTGCTCTCTGACCTCAGCTGTGATTTGAGTTGATGGGAGTGTATTTGAATTGAGTATTTGTCTTCGTCGTAACACGCATGCTTGCCTGCACTGCAGACACTTCAGTGCACTCTGGAAGAGGCGCAGCATTTTCAGCTGATGCTGCTATCCAGTCCTCCCTCTTGACATGCTAATCACCTTGGGCAAAGTCATGTCGATGTATTTGATTTGGAACAGAAATGTTCCTCTCCTGAGGACTGACCAGCATGCCTTGGGGATCTCTGCACTGTGAATGCTGTCACTGCAGCCAACACCTGCTTTTTTTCTTAAATATTATCACCTTTTCCTAAATATTAAACAGGTATTTTGGCATTTTGCTTGCTGTGCAAACTATTGTCAGAGTTTATGGCTGTGTTAGTTTAATGCTACCCCAAGGTACAGCTGACAGCTCTGCACTTCCTTTGGGCAGGGCTGGCACCAAGATGGAAGAGTCTCAGCAAATATGAAAATAATTTATTTTTTTAAAGTGTACAAAGTGCCTTGTAAAACTGTAGGATGAGGCAAGTTTGAAAGGAAATTCTGAGACCATGTAAACCCAGACATTTTTCCAAAGAAACGTATAAACAAACCCACATGACGTACGGCACTTGAGACTGCAGCATGAGATGGGGGTTTTGATGGGGTTTTATAGAGGAAACGTGAAGCTCTTTGTGCCCCCTGCCGCAGTGGTTGTCTCCATCAGGTAGCAGCGACAATGAGGAACAACTCCCGAAGCATGCACAATTTCTCCATGATCTGCAGGGGAAAAGGCTGCCCCAGGACCTGCTGCATTCGGCTGATGAAGTCCTCTATCTTCAGTTGAATGTCCAGATGGCTGATGTCATCGCCGTCCTGGGGCTTGGGCTTGGCTTTCTGAATGATCAAGTCCATCCGGTCATTGAGTGAGCTCCGTAAGTGCTCTGCAAGAGGAAATGCTGGTGGGGAGAGGCAACACACAGTGGGCTGCCTGACCTGTTCAGGGACAGATCGCAGCGTGCCACAGGCAACGCTGCGGAGAGGAGTGGTTGGGAACCGTGCTGATCCTCTCATGGTTATCCTTGATGCTTTTGCACAAGACTAGCCTGGTGGAAGAAGGTACCGTCCCCTCCTGGAGCTCAGTCTGCATGTAGAGAGAGCCCAAGAAACGGGGAGGGGGCAGGGCTTGTAGCATCCTTTACTCCTGTGCTAGTGGCAGACTGGACAGCTGTCCAGCTGCAAAGGAGAGTCTCCAAAGAGTTTAACAACAGTGATCGTCTAGGGCTTCGGGGAGAATGAGACTCTATGCACATGTGATGGTGGGTTCCTCTGCATTCCTCCATGAGAGCCTTAACCCTGTGCTAAAGCAGCTGAATTTGGGAAGAGACTTTAGGAATTTTCTGGTAAAATGACTTTAGGGAGTTTTAGGGAGTGTTTTGTGACTGCTGCTCTCCTGGGGTCAGAAATACTGCTCCTTCCATGGCTACTGTGGGTGGTGCTCCCTGCCCAATGCTAAGTGCTGAGTGTGTCCTGGCTTTACCATCCCTTTGACTTCTGCTTTTCCTCCTAAACCACCCTATTCTTCCACCCACTCTGTGCACAAATTAGACAACGGTGGGTACAAAGCACCCCATTGTGTACTTCTCAGTGCTGGGATTGATCCTTTAGGAAGTAGGCTATTTCTTAGGGGCTAAACTTGGCAAAGCAGGTTGAATGCTCTGCTTGATGCAACATCACTTCTTTGCTCTGACTGCTGGGAATAGTTACTAGCATGGATGGAGGCACATTATCTTTCTAAGACTCAGTGGCCATGAGTTCGAGTGATGAGAAGAGAGGAGGAAGGGTACTTTGGCTGTTCTACTGCAGCCTTTTGATGAGATCATGTTTATTAAGGCCAGAACAGGCTGCTTACCCAGTATTACATTTTGGTAACTCAGCAGCAGCAAACTCAAGTACTGCAGCATCTCATCCCATCTTTGCCATGTTGCTGTTTCATCCTATGACAGGAGACAGTATTTGGTTATTAGAAGAGGTTTTCTTAGGAGAAAACAAGGCAAAGCAGAGGTTGGACTGGATACCTGGTATTGCAGCAGCACAGAGGAGTGGCTCAGGAAATACAGGATCTTGGCCAGAGACAAGGGCAAGGTCGTGGGCACGTCACAACTATGCTGGAACAACAGCTCTAGCAGTTTGCAGCGCAGGAGCTGGCTCTCCATAGTGTTTAAGAAAGCTTCCCTGGAAGACAAAGGGATTTACTCTGGGGGAGACAGCACAGCCTGGCCAGGGACAACTGCTGTAGCATGTTCCTGGTGTCCTGCTGGTGCTGATCTGGTGCAGGGGCTGCCCAGCAGTGCAGTGGAAGGAAAACCACCAGATGCGATAGAGAGACCTTCGTTATGCAGCTCAGCCATGGACATGTTTACATCCTTAGGTCTGACCTGTGGCAACTCGAGGTTGATACGGTCTGTGAAGCACGCTTATCTGCTTCACTTCACCCTGCCCAGCAGCCTGTGCGGAAGTTACCCGTTCCTGCTGACTTGCAGGGAGCACAGCCAAGCAAGTGTGAAGTGGGGTCAGTGGCCAGCTGGATCTAGATCTGTCCTGGGTGGAGCGATAGCTTGGTTAGAGTCAGTTTGGCTTGATTAGACCCGATGTGTGCTCAGAGAGAGTTCTGCTAAAAGGGTCCGAAAGGGCTGCCTGCTGGGGCTGGCAAACGTGCGTTTCAAATGTCTGTGGCTCTAGTGGTCTCATGTCTATGCTAGAGCCAGTCAGGCCCTTGTGCTTTGGCTTCAAATACTGCATTTCTTAGAGAAGCAAACAAAGGCATGTCAAGGCAAAGCTGCAAGAACTGCATCATATTTCTGATGAGCTTCTCAGGTGTCCCTGGGAATCACTGATGTGTTTGCCAGTACTTGACCATGCTGATGCAGACTGCTGCTTTTCAGACCCTCTTTACAGTTTTAAGGTCCTGCAACTTTAACAAGTGGGAGAATCAACTTTTCTCAGCAACACATGAGCTGGGGAGATGCATTCAGCTGGTGATGTTCTATCTCCGTGGCATCTGTCAGTCCAACAGCCATGTGTTTGCTGGCTGGGTCATAAATGAGCCTGTCTTTCTATACCCTGTGGTACTTTATGCATCCAGACTTGGATGTAAATTGGGAATAAGACTATTGCTCACACAGGCAGATGCTGCCTTGCACATATGTGTCTCACCTTTGGCTCCTCAGGGGAATATTCAGTATAAATGGGAATATCACATCTGCGATCTTACAGGAGCTGCAGTTGGGAGATTTGTCCACTTCCACTGCGATGGACAACATCCGCTGGAGCAGGAGCATCACCCTAGGTTAGAGAGGCAGTCAACACTAGAGACACTACCCCTCGGCTTGCAAAGTAAAGCAGTGGGGATGGCACCTAGTTCAGCCTCACGCCTTGCAGGGAGGGACATAAGGGAACGTAGCAGGCTAGATTTGATGTCTCTTCATGGCTTTTGAATCTGATGCTCTCGGAAGCAGAGCTAATCCCCAGATGGGAGGTCTCAGTGGCTGTACTTGGTGGAGCAGGACGGGGCAGCCTGGGCTGTGCGCCAAGAGCTCCAGCCTTATGCTACATGTAAGAGGAGGACGCTCACTGAGCCAGTTTCCTACCAGGTGAGGAAGTCTCTTGCTCACCAAGTATATGTCTACCCCAAAGGAGAACTTCAGGTACAGCCTGGCTTCCCTGACCTGACAGGGAGAGACTCTGGCTTCTCCCTGACTTGGGCCCCATGATACTGCCAGCAGGGAGTCAGGACTTCTGGGGCTTACTTCTGGGCGAAGAAAGCTGGTGGAGCCACCTCTGCCTGGTCAGTGCTGACCAGCCATGGTGCAGATGAGCTGTGTTTGGCCCTTGCTTCTGCTGAAGAGGGTGTAATCTCTTGCGGCTGCTCCTGAGGCTGGGAGAACCCCAGTCCTGTAACTGCTGCGACCAACCATTCGACCACCTCCCTGGGACAGAAACAGGAACGTTAGTGGGGACAGGCCTGGTTTTGCTGCATTCTGACCTCTAGATCCACTTGGAGCTCAAGGAAAGATCCCGAGGGTGAAGAGTACATCCCACCCACTTGGACAGGCTAGGGAGTAGCTCTGTTGAGCAGCAGATTTATACGCTTGTCAACAGGACTGCCTCCTTCTCAGTCCTGTCTGGAGCAATGCAAATCTGACCTCATTCCTAGGAAAAGCCCGCTAAGTTGCAGTGGGAAATGCCTTACATCATCTCTGGTGGTTTGCTTTTGTAAACCTGCTCCTGTTCTTTACACTTGGGTCCTACACTTCCCTCCGACTCCTAAGCTTGTTTCCTGGAAAGTCTGAAAGCCTGACCTGGAGTCTTGACAAGCGTTCCCTGAGCCCCTGCCTCTCAGCATCTGGTTAGAGAATAAGGGAGGAGGAGGTGTCCCTTACTTGACATTGTTGAAGCACATGTCACACGAAAGCACTTTCTTGGCAATCGACTTCTGCAGCAGGCGCAACCTCAGGTTCTGCTGGAAGTCGTCCTCCAGGGTCTGCACCACGTACTGCAGGAAGAGGAGACGGCCAGGGGGCTTCTCCTGAGGGCAGATGGAGATGGTATGAGCCTAGCGGAGCCGCAGGGTGAGGAGCACCAGGGAATTTGGCTGTCTCAGGAATGGGCTGATGTACATGACATAGCTCCAGGAGGGGCTGCCTGGCTCAGGCAATGCCCCGGGGGCTTCGCTGGACCTGCACTACCATTGCATTAGGGCTGTGGCCCACAGAGGCTTTGTCTGTTGCTGTGTCTTCTTCAGATGAGACAACCTGCCTACAGCTGTGCAGCAGCTTAGGGAGCACTGCGGATAAAAGTGGGAGACCCAACTGGCATTTGCTGCCCTTAGTTGCTGCAATAAAACTGCATGTTGGACTGGCCCATTCTGCAGGAGAGCATGGCCATGAGGCCCTGGGGCAATGCTTACCCTCAGGCACCGCGTGCTGGATTATCCCTGCCCAGTGTGACACACGCAGTGCCAAGTACCTGGTCCTCCATGACGTATTTCAGCAGCATCCAGTCCCATCCCACTGTGGCGGCGTTGGCTGGATGGAGCCTGCAAGGACAGCACTGTCCATTTGTGCTGAACTGCCCAACCGTCTGCCTGGAGGCACAGCAGCCCCTGGCCCTCCCCCGGCCTCACTTGCTCGGGGCCCTGCTCTGCTTTCTCCTCTCCAGCTTCACCCTCTCCCTTTCTCCTCCCCTGACCACATTAATTTTTTGGAAGCACCTAACTGGGGCTGTACTCCGTGGAAAGCATCAGCACTCCTGGGCCCGTGGCCTCACAAAACATTGTGACTCTCTGTGAGAATCCTGACGGCAGCGGGGGAACTGCTCCAGTCATCTCCAGCCCATGGCCCCCACTGCAGCCCAGGGAAGGCGTTTCTGCCATGTCACAGCAGTGAAGAATGAGATCTGCTCTTCAGGAGCAAGGCAAACACTCCTCTGTCCTAGAGGGCTCCCTGGTGTCACAGGCTGTCCCTGCACTGTGTGGGCTTGCTACTAAATGATTAAAGGACGCCCATGATATAGTTGGAACTGCTTTCCCTCTTGTCTCAGCATCCCCTGCCTCTCTCACCCCCCCATCCTCCATTCACTTGGGGGTTTAGTGGCTGCTGTCTGGCCCAGCAATGGTCCTGACCGACCCACAGACAGCCCAGGGTGTGCCTGTGCTGATAACAGGCGGCAGGGACAGGAGGATCATCCTGGATTACGGGGGAAATTGCTCCCTGTTCTGTGGGTGAGGACTACAGGGAATAACCTTTATGCTGGCCAGGCCCCCGGGAGCACCTAGCCAGCCCCAGGGCACCATGGCAAAGGGAACACCTACATTTGGATCTTCATCAGCAGCATGTAGGTGTCCTTCAGGATCTCCCCTTGGTGGGGGTTCAACAGGATCTGTCTGATCAGGTGGGAGATGATTTCTTTGGGGGGACAGTGCTGGTGGGAGACGAACTCGCTCAGGAAATGCAACGTGCCCTCCAGAAAGTTCTCCTCCATGGTGGTGCGCACCATGCTCAGCTTCCCGCTGGGGATGAGCTCAGGTTTCTGCTGCGTGCAAGGCAAGGCAATGAGTGAAAACTGGCTCCCCCCAACACAGAGGAACCCAGCTGTGATGTGGGGCCCACCGTGAAGGGAACTGCAGTAACCAGAGATCCCAACTGCCTGGCAAAGCCTCCCCCGAAAGGGGAAGCGAAGCAGGGGCTGCCCCTGCTCCATCCTCTACTGCAGGGGCTGCTCTGAACCCTGTTTACCTGCTGTGTTTCCCTGTTGGGTGCTATGCCTTGGAGGAAGAGGTGCTGGACTCCGCTCCTTCTGAAATAGTGCAGTTTGTTCAGCCAGGCCTTGCTGTCAGCCTTGGTCCTGGCTGGGGCCACTTGCTGGATTGCTTCATGTGGTGGTAAGTCACCTGCTTCCAGCAAAGGCCCTTGGGCCTTCCCTGGGGTTGTGGGGATGGCTGGGGCAGGGCTCAGCCTCAGTGGCAGCTCCCTTTGCTGGCAGAGGTGGGGAGTCTCTTCCTCTGGGCCACCGGCTCTCCAGCTGCTGCTGCTGTCCAGGCTGGAGGGGGACAGGGACAGCAGGTCCGAGTCCAGCTGCATGCTGGCCAGGGAGCCCAAGTCACTATTAACAGTGGTGGTGCTGCAGTTCTGCTCTGGGCTGCAGGAGGAGCCGTGGCGGCTGGAGGTGGGAGAGAAGCAACTCCAGTTCTCCGCACTTTCTGCTGTGTCCGTGGTGGCACTGGGCTCTGCGGGAGTGCCATGCCAGGGTACTGCAGGGCTCGGCCCCGCCGTCGCCTCTGTTTCTTGCGTTGTGGTGGAGCAGAGCCGGGGATGGGATGTGTGTGCTGCCGGGGCAGCAGACGCCTGCCCGGGGTCCTGGTCAGCCCAGCCGGTGGCATGGGGAGGGCTGCAGAGAGGGCTGCATGTGTCCTCTGTCAGGTCGATGATGGTGAGGCTGCTCCACGGCGCCGGGTCTGTGCTCGTGTCCTCGCAGGTCAGATCGATGATCTGTGGGGACAGGGGCCAGCGTTGTCAGTGACGGTGGCACCTGGGTGCCTTGGTTCTCTCCTGCCAGGGACCTCTGCTATGGTGGCACTGTTGCCCCAGCCCAAGGGGAAAAAGGGGCTCATTGGCACCAGCCCAGGACGAGGGGCAAGACCCCTGGCCAAGGGGATGGGGCAGCCTGTGGGGTAGCAGCCCCGAGCTCTAGTGTCGTCCCGCCCCAGCAGCATGGCTGAGCCCAAGCCCGAGCCGGGCTCTTCTTCCCTGCTCCTGGCAGAGACAAACCCCCCGGCTCCTCCTGGGGCTCCTTACGGCAAACGGCTGTGTCCTCTGCTCCAAACACCTCTCGCCTTGGCCCAGAGCGGGCCTGGCTGCCTGCTCAGCTCCCTCCCAGGATGGCAAGTGCCAGCCCTGCTGGGGTGCCTGGGGAGGGCAACGGGAGTGCAGTGAGCGCTCCTGTCCCCCGTCCCCAGGGGCTCCTGCCTGGTGCTGGCAGGAGCAGCACAGGATCCGAACCTCAGCACCCCCCCTGCAGCATGACCTCACCCGCTACATGGACACGAGCGGTGGGGAACAGAGCTACCTTCACATCCATGGCACCAAGCCAGAGCTACAGCAGCCCCGAGACTTTGGGGACTCCCATCCAGGACTCGCCGGGTGATGCAGCACCCAGAGCTCCAAGGACACGCCTGTCCGAGGGGCAGCAGGAGCAGGCAGGGGAAGGCAGCTGTGTCTGCACCACCGGCAGGCAGGACACGGCACTTCTCAGGATCTCGACGTGCCCGGGAGGGGTCAGAGCCTGTTTGCTCTTGGAAAAAAAAACCCCTCAGCGACTCAAAGCAGGAACACATTTTGCGGACAATTTAAATCCATTTTTTTCCCCTGACTCAGAACCTGCTGCTTTTCCCAAGGAGGGGCCGCATGTAGCCTGGGGAGGTGGCAAAACCCAGCAGGCCTCGCATGCTCCGGGAAGCTGGTGGAGCCGAGGAGGGCCGGAGGCTGCCCCGACTCCAGCCAGCCCTGCCGCACCGGACGCCGCGGAACTGCCAGCATTTGAAAGGTGCATCGGAACCGAGGCCAACTGCACCCGGTGCGGGGGTGGACAGACTGTTCCCCCCTGCCCAGGGCTGTGCCTTGCCGACGGCCTTGTGCCCTGAACCGCCGCTGCACCAGCTCATCATCCCCCTGTCCGCGGGGTGGCCCAGGTGAGTGGGACGGCAGCTGCCCCACCATGGCCCGGGGCTGGACCCTGCTGGGGGGCTGTACCCAGCAGGGTGCCCGGGGGCTGAGCCCCGGCGGGCTGGGACCCTCCTCGATGTGCAGCCGAGGGGACCAAGACATTCCACGGCTGGGGGCCAGGGTCTTCCTGGGGGGACGCGGCCAAGGGGGCTGGGATCCCCGGGGGGACACGCTTGGGGACCGGGCCTCTGCTGGCGGGAGGTGGCCGAGGGGACCCGAGGCCTCCTGGGGAAGGTTAGGGGGCCCTTGGGGGATGTGGCTGAGGCCAGGACTGTCCTGTGAGGGACGCGACCGAGAGGA